AATTACTCCTCCCTGGAACAAAGTATTAAAACACACCAGTTTTGGTCATATCTAGAAGTTACCCATATGAAGACATTTCTAGGCTCAATTATGAAGTTATTACTATGAAGACAACTAAACTCAACTGCCTTCCTTCCAACAATAAAACCCATTAATCCTCTGACTCAGGGAGCACTATATGTGAAGTTGTTTTCTAGGACCTGCTCTAACTTAGAAGGGGCTGTTCAGAAGAGACAGAAAATGTCTCCTTAACCAGAGATTTCTAGAAAAAGATCCGTATCTTTTCTTTCTCTTTTTAAACTTGTGTCATTCCCCCTAATCCTCACATCGTATCTATTGTTTCCCAATTTCTGTAGTAGAATTTACTAGATTCCAGGATTTGCTTAATTATTTATTGAGGGCTTTTTACACTCCCCTTTGGAATAGGGGTAGAAAAGATGAAGATTGAATAAAGCCAAGATTTCACCAGAGTATTTGAGAAAGCAAGAACTTTTGCATATATGTAGATATTATTTCAAATGTAACAGAGGCCAAAGGGTATTGAAAGTAGGAATCAGCTCCCCTTGCCACCAAATCTCTCAGGACTTACTTGCATTTTTGGCACACTGGGAGCCACAAGGTTACAGAATCAATTATCTTTACAGCTGAAGGAGGAAGCTGTTGCTGAGTTCCACATGGAATAAAGCTCTAAATCACCCTTCTCATCTTTATTTTGAAAGTGCTACTTTAGTTAATTTACAGTTAGTATTTCAGATAGAGTCTGCAAACCCCACATCCTAAATTTAAAATTTTCTCCGCTGTGGAGTTCTGAAAGCAACAGGTCAACAGCTGGAATTACAACAAGACTTCAGCAGATTCCATGTGAAGCAAAGAACAACTCCCTCAGGAGCTACTGCACTTGTATGTTTTACTGGGCAGTTTTAAGCTTTTGACAATATTACATTAAACACATGTCTCCTTTTAAGTATCAAAAGAATATTCAAGCAGTGCAATAAGCAGGGTTTACTGACCCATCCTCTCCCCCCCTTTTGTAAAACGTATTATTTAATTTCACAGGCTACATTAAAAGCCACAATAATGAGGATTTCTCCTCAAATCAAAAGTTTCTTTACCTTAATTTTCAATCCTTACAGAACAGAGTCTGTAACAAAGTCACACAGGCACTGCTTGCTGACAATCACAGTGACTAAGTGTTCAGGTATCCTTTCTCTCCCTATAGAGAGGGACATGCTATTCTGGCCCAAGTGCTGAGTTATACCCTAATTATGTAAGATATTCCCTAAAAACTAAATTACTTAAGATTGTGAGTGGGATGTACAGCAATGACTACATTACTTCTACTTCCTGCCCTGCACGAGATCTTCATTGTCAGAATGAATTTATAGCCTGGAATCTCATATCTTCTAAGAGTCAATGGGTAACTGAAACATCTCCTTCCAGAAAGCATATTCCTTCTTTTTCTCCACATTGAGACCTTCCTTTTATCCTACAAGCAGAGATCTTTTGGAAATACATGTAGGCTGCAGTTCCTCTCACATGCTTATTGAGTTCTTTAAACAATTTGTAACAAAGAGATGCGACTCTCTTAGAAGTAGGGAGAACTTTTTTTAATGTTCATTATTGTTAAAAGACTAGTGTGCACAAGATGGACATCTAGTTATCATGCTAATTACAGTTTGGGTATATCTGATCATACCAGCACTTCTTCAGACAGTGAAATCCATCTGCTAAGTGTGGTAAGTTTTTACATCTTCCAAATCTTCTCTCTTTAGAGCAGTTTCAAGGATAGATAATAAATCACAGATTTTCAGAACTCCAAATATCTGATATTTGCAATTCTTTACTGTTCATTTTGTTATTTTATCCCATATTCCTCCTCAGAATTATTATCAAAAGAAAAGGAAAAGCCTTCATGTACTGGCACTGCAGTCCCTCCAAATAAACTCAAGTAAACAGGAAACATAACAGCCTTAATAAAGTACAAGTAAATATTTAGTTTTACTGCTACAGTCATGTCTTCCCTGTTACCATATACACCTAGGAAAAACTCTTCTAGACTGAAAAAAGATTTTGCTTCCAATATGCTGGAATACTTGTTGTTTAAATGCCTGAATAAGCGTCCCCCCAAAACCCAGACAAGGTCATTACCTACTGTGCAACATATGAACTCCTTTATAGGATTATTTTGTTCTTTACAAGTTTCTGCATTTCTACCTTCTTGTCTTCCTCTTTTGCAGCAGAACCTGGAAACCCCACAGGGCATTTTGTCAGTAAGGCCATTTCCAGAGCCCTTGCATTTCAGTCACCCCTGCCTGCAGGTTGGCACCTCATGCCCAGTCCCTGAGGGCCCTGCAGTGTGTGCAGCCCTGCTGGTGCCCAGTTCTGACTGGCACACTGGATGTGTGCCCCCCTTCGCTGTGGACTTTCACCTTTAACTGGAAGGAGGGGTGGTGCTGGGATGTGGTTTGGGCAGCATTACCAGCACCCAGCCCTGCCCTGTGCCCTGGAACTTACTCGAGCCTCCCAGAAGCAAGTCACTGGACTACCAACCTATCAATCAGTGAGCCCATAACCTAAGACTTCATTAAGCTTGCTCCTGAATGAGTGCTAAGTACCTTTTTGGACACACAAATCCAGTTGGCTGTGAAACCACCTCAAAAACAATTATGTTTAGAGATAAAAACCTTCACCATCCAAAAGCTTTCTTCCTAATTCAACTACATCTCTGACTGATATATCAGTTATGACTCAACCATCTGTATCATCAGTTCTTTGTTCATACAGCCTTCAAATACAACAGCTACATTCCATTTCAGCATACACAGAAAAATGTTATCATCAGCACTCCAGTATCAAGTGGTATCTCTGCAGCTTTTACTTATAGTCAGTTCTGGAAAACCATTTTCTGCGAAACTGGGCAGCCTCAGACGTGCCTTCCTGTTCTTAGAAACTACTTTAGGGTAATGTCATGGTACTCTTGTTATGCAATGACAAAGTTTACAGTCCAGTGTTCAATACTTCCTTTAAATTAAGCCATTTCTTCTGCATTCCTCACCTATTAAACCTCAGAAACAAAACTGAGAAGGACAGGACTAAATCACAGAACAAGTTAAAGAGCAAACAAAACCACAAAGGCAAATTCCAGACAGATCACAACTATAAATACACATGTGCACGTAAATGTCAAGGCAGAGCAGCCAAATCCCTCCCCAGGAAAAGCTTTCACAATTAACTATCATAATATTTGCAAACCCACATTCATGAATGGAATAAATTTATATTTGTCTACGACGGTTTGAAGAAAGCACACCCATACACAATCAAAGTTTCCTGTAAGATCATCCATTATTTTCCCAGGGAAGAAAAAAGAAAAAAAAATATTTTGACAATGACTCTTCTCCCCACCATCTTTAACTGTGAGGTATGTTTATATTTTTATATACTTTATACTACGACCTTGACCATGCAAACCCCATTCATGAATTCATTAGTTTCACTACAGAACTATTCAGTAGCTGGTATCACATTCAGAAATAAATTTGGGAGTTTACAACAGAAGCAACAATTATTTGATTTATTATTCTTCCTCAGCTGCCTGTGGGACATTCTGCTAACTGTGATGGAAGTAAGAAGTTAACTTTACATAAGGATACTGGGGCTGGTTTTACCTCTAAATTAATAATCAAAAAAGAAAGTGAAATTACACATAAAAATGTACGATTAAATAATTATATTTAAGTTACATCAGCCCTACATTTTCTATTTTTTATTGGCAGTATCTGTCTCAAAACAATGTTTATAGTATTACTGGAACATGCATGAAGTTCTGCTCATGCCAACAGGCCAAAGGACATGTTTTTAAGGTCTTAGGTGGAAAAGCTTACTTTAAATATGCATTCCAGAGTCTACACGAATTTACAGCTCAAGTTCAAGTGTTAAATCTCAAAAAGGCATACTGCTATCGCCCAGAGATATACTGTTACCACTTTTCAATCTTCAAAATGAAATTTTAAGCCTGTGATTCACGTAGCCTTCTATTTTATTTGGAAAAGTCTACATGACAAGACAGCAGGTGCTGTCAGCAAATAATTTATGAAGTTAGTTTTATTTTTCTTGTTGCTTTTTGTAACAATACCCCAATAGTTAGAAATGCTGTGCACAACTGATAATGTCCACCATACTTACACTTTAAAACTTACTATAGTTTGTGACTATTAAGTTAAAAGGTTGGGTTCTTCAGAAAATTCTCATTCCCACCATATTTACATAATGACCTACGCAGAAATACATAAAATAATAGAAAAAGAAGAAAGAAAAACTAAAATCAAGTAGATTTCATATCTATATGGTTACAGTTATCTTAAACAGGACACTGCTAACACATGCACACTGAACCGTCATCACAGCATAGCAAACTTAAATGGCATTAACATAAAGAAATTGTTTTCTCATACCTGATTCCTTCTACTAAGTCCTAATCTCTACTACAGCTGAAGGACAAACACACACGTGGAAGAACTTTCCCCATTTTACCTTTGCAGCACCAGGAGGGACCGAACAGCCACCTGCAAGTCAGCAGCGATCTCAGGGCTCAGCCACGGGGACTGCACTGATGAAAAGGCAACCAACTCCCTCTTGGGAACTCCAGCAACTACTTCACATCAACTGACTGTCAAGTACCAGACAGCGCTAGAAACACAAAAGGAAACATCCCAAGAGTGGCCACACAAAGCGACACAGAAAGTATTTTCATCTATAGATTAAGGCTTCCCTCTTCTGAAAGAATACAGATTCCACAAGTGCTTTTCAACTCCTTTACTTAGATTTTCGGTGGCCATTTGAGTTCCCACCCACATAGCTTCTGTAAAAGGATTCTTATTCAAGCTGATTGGTCAAGCAGGAACAATGCCAATCATGCAGAACATTTCATAGGTTCCCTCCCATTATTAACTACACCTATTTACCACACTACTACAAACTCCAAGCAATTAAGTGTTGCCATGCATAATTCTGCAAACATCTATATGGAAAAGCAGACTGTGTTGGTGAGGAGAAGTATCTTCTCGGTTCATAAGGAAGCTGAAGCCCTGTTTCCTCCAAGAAAATGTTCAATTTTGACAAGTTCTACACAACTTACTATTAAGTTTCCAGTCTGGGACAAAGAGAGGAGAAAAAAAAAACACAGTAGCCAAAGTTTCCCCTTTAAGTTAAAGATATAAAAAGCCTGGATTTTTGCTTTTGGCTCTGATGGCCATCACTCAGGAATTTCTCCAAGCCTCACAGAATTCCTGAAACAGTCCATTTGCAAATGAAGAGTTAGACTTAATCACACATTTATTCCACTGTACTAGTCAGGTTTCTGACTCCCATGCCACCAACCTTCCCATGCTGGTTATATAACAAGATATTTAATATGATGAACAGCTTAACACTTTGTATATATTCAGTTTCTCTCCAAGATCAGTTGCTTTTTATGAGACTGTATTAAGTTTTATAGCCTTTCTGTTAATTGTTTTAAGAAAACATATTGCTGCAATACAAGTCTTTCAGATGCTCAAATGCCAACACACTCAGACTCTGAATATGTTATCAAAACCCATCACATAGGATTAATGTATTAATCATACATATGCTTTATATATAGTCACAGGTTTCCATGTTATACTATTTTTTCAGCATCAATGGTATATCACATATAATATCTTAAAAAAATGTTCAGAGGACTATACAAGACAATCAAAGATACATAAATATTTCCACATGAGAAACAACTGGGGAGGTTTGAATTCTTCAGTCTGTAAAAAACACAGAAGTCACAGAGGTCTGCGAGGTCTACAAATGATAGAGAAAGGGGAGGCTGAACCATTCATGGGCTACACCCATTTAAGCCAGAACCACTAAGTGTAACCAGCAGAAGCCAGTTCAAACAATAAAATAGAGAATTTCTACAAGTGATGGAATTCTCTGCCAAAGGACACTGGAAACTCAATAATGGTGTCAGTGGGACACTGAAAAAATACCACAGAACAGATCCACTGCAAGTTTCTCGACAGAGAAGCCAAAGCAGGCATGTCAGATTATAAAATACATATTAAAAACTGTGTAGACCCCTACCCTTATTTGTCTGCCTGCAGATAATTTTATTATACAAACCTTGAAAAATAAGCCGTGAGAAGTGTATCTGTATTGTTTCCCACCTCAGTGATGTGTGTTTACAATAAACACACTTCTACAAACACGTATTTAGTAACACCTGTAAAGATGTTTCCACTATTCCTGTTTTCAGTAAAAGTGAGGCTTAATTCACGATTCCCAGTCAACGGATTCAGCCCCACAAAAGGGGTAAAAATCTCCCTAAAAATGCAGGGGCAGAATGGCCATCTCATAGAGTATCTCCTCCTGCAGGCCAGCATTCTCCAGCCCACAGGCCAGGGCCAGCTGGCACAATCCTAAGTAACATTTGCTCGGGGCCAGCTGAGACTGGACACAAGGCCAGGCAGCTCAGACCCTGGGAACTGCCACTGGCTCCCTCCCAGCTCTTCCACCAAATGAATCCTGGGGTAGGAGAACTTCTGTGACCTCACAGTAGTGCTATGTACTGATTAACAGCAAAAGGACAATGGAAAAATAGCACTAGTTTCCACAACAATCCTTGCTGAGTTTCCTTCAAGAAACTCCAACAAAAGAAGGTGTTTTAAGGGCATTTAAAATGCATTTATTTCTATACCCCTCACAAAGTTAGTTCTTCCTCATCCAGGAAACATTAGGGCTGGCAGAATGTTTCATTTAATAACTATTCCAATGGAAGCAGCATAATACTTCATTTATAGCAAAGTAATTCTAAGAGGTTTCTTCCACCAAATAATATAATTAACAACCTGTTGTCTCAGCAGAGCAGCACCTGTAGAATAAAGACAGTCCTCACAGGTTAGCTCCTGGAAAAAAATCTCTGTGAAGCTGGCACTGGCATGACTCAGATAGGACCTGATCTGAAGTCTGTCTTTCCAATGGTTCTCAGCCTATCATCAAGATTTTGGATTTGTTCTATTAAAAAAAAAAACAACACCACAGTGCCAGTTTGGAACATTCATCAATGGAACATAAGACATTATAGAAATATTTTCCTTGTGATGAATAGACTATAGGTTTACACTAAAGGCTGCCGGGCTCATCAAGAGTTTTATCAGTACTTCAGTCATGTTCCATAATTAAGGAACCAACAGAAGTCATGTTTTCTTGCAAAAGCATTAGGTTTCTTTCTGACATAATTAAAAATGCAAAACCATTAGATCTCTTTCTGACATAATTAAAAACCTACCACTAAACATAACAGCTGGGAGAAACAACTAAATAACCATGATACTAATTCATACAGGTCACATGTAAGAGGGGAAAGGGTGAAGATACATGGAAGATATGCTTGCACAGTCCCTATCCTAACTCTACTTGTGGGCTTTTTTTTTTCCTGTAATAATGACAGAAATTAATAACTTCCAGTAGAAAATAAGCTATTTTTTTCAGCCTCGATGAAGAGAAGAACTGCAAACCTCATAAATCCACTTGGAAAAGCGACTCAGCCACATTGCACTGGCTTTAATTGCCACTACACTCCAACAGGAGGAAGGTTATTAATGCATTCCCAAATAAGGAACTGCACACATTTTTGCTGTGCCCATGTGATCACTCTGTTCTTACATAAGCAAAAGGAGATGGTCACACTGGATGCTTTTTCCAGAGTGTGCTCGTCAAAATCCCACCCAGCTGCTCTGATTCATGCAGCCAGTGTTACAAGCACGGCTGAAAACACAGGCCCTCAACTGTTGTACAAAGAGAGCAATTTGAACAGGAGAGGTCAGAACGACTCTGTTCAACCTGAAAGGAGAGCATGTCAATAAGAATGGACCGCAGTTCACCTACAGAAGGCAGAAATACAGGTAGCCCTAGTTGCAGTAACCACAATCTGCTGTAATAGAAGTCAAAATAGTTGCTCATTAGTCTTTCAGATGTTCCAACCACATCCCATAGCTAAATTACATTTCACAGTTGTTTCCCCCCCTTTGTCAGTTCTGAGAAAAGAAGATGGAAGGGGAGAGTTTAATAGATCTATTTTGAAATTAATATCTTAAATTACTTTATTGCTCTAGATTAAGTGGTGTACACCTAGCTAAGAGGTGAACAAGGTACAACATGGAAAGATGAACAATTCAGCAGAAAAATATCCAGGTGTTCTGGAAATTTCAGCATCTATTCTACTAAGAGACTATAAAAAAGCACAGTTCCATGAAAATTTTCCCTCTTGTAAGTTCAAACTTTGCATGGTAGCAAGTCCTAGAAAGACACATCACTGTAGAAAATCATGTACTTTCTTTTTACCTTTTCCCTGCTCTTTCTAGAAAAAAAAAATCAGTACAAAACCCAGTGATAAATTAGAGGACAGCTGCAATTAAATAATCATAGAAATGAAAAATTTTAATCCAATCATGACACAGAATCAGTCCACTCACAGGACACAGTCCTAACACACGACAACCTGTTAGAGGGAAGTAAAAGACCTCCTTTCCCTATTCTCTGCAGAAAACACCAATCCATAGTCAACAGATTTTCAGGTATGTTTTTCTGTTTAAGCTAAGCTTACACAATCCCCTGTTTTCTTGCCCTTCACATCAAGTCGAATTATTAACATGGACTGATTTTTTTTACAGTGATTTTTGAGATTAAGCCAGCAACATTCATCCCTTTCTAAGCCTATGTAGCATTGCTAATCACTGCAAACATTTATTTTTCCCAAAACATGCACGTGACCCTTACAATAAAGTTTAAGAAGATTTTCAGTTTAGATAAGCTTGTCATAATCACGGTTTTATGGACTGAAGGGATTAGTAATTTAGAGCTTCTAAATCATCTCTTCCATTTTTCCTTCCTCAGTCTCAGAAAAGATTTATGTTTCTATGGTTTTTTTTAATTTGCCTTGTGATAGATGCACAGTGTGGGTAAAAATAAGATTTTCTGACTCACAAATAAACAAATAACAGTTGTGAGCTTAATTAAACAGCATCAGAATACTATGAGGGATCAGGCCTATGCAATAGGGAAGTGCTCCAATCTCTTCAAAGTAATCAAGCTTTTCTCACTTCAAGATGACAATTTTGAACATTAATTCTACCTTAATTTAAAAAAGTATTTACATGCTTATTAATAGGACTTGAATGCACATTCTTCAGTGCTCTGCTGAAAGAGGGATATTTAAAGACACTTCCACCCTCTACAGCTACTTCTGCATTATTCATTTGTTCTCCCTTTCAAACTCCCTCAATCCCCACCTCTGCCTTTCCTAACCCCCATTCACATGCAGCTTCCACACCCAGCTCATTCCAAGCAAGGCCCTTCACACTTCTCCCCCAGCTGGGAGGAGTTTTGCAGATGTTAACAGCAAACAAATTCTTTGTGCTCTCCAAGCTTCCCTTCCCATGACATCCACACAAAAACATCCAGCCCCCTCAAACAAGTCAAAGCTGAGCACCGATGACACTTATCACTCTGACTAATATTATCCAGCTGCCTTTAACACCACATTCCCTCTATATGCTGATCCACACTGTCTCACTGCAGCTGTATTTAGGGAAAAAGTGAGTGTTCTCTGATTTATCCTCCTGCATTTGACACACCCAAAGCAACTGTGGCCTAATGCAGTTTGATAGCCTTCTGTGATCTAGTCAAAATTTAAACTCAAATACAGAGGAAACAAGATTCGTGAGAGTAAAACGTGAAAGGAAAAAGCTCTAAGGAATCTACAATATTTACACAGTTTCTCTTAGAAGATTTAATATATTAAAGCTTTTTGCTAAAAAAAAAAAAACAGCATGACTAAATGTAAACCTAAATCACCAAAGATTTGAAGGTTGGTTGGGTTTTTTTTTAAAGTTATCCAAATTGTGGATCTGAAATTTGCAATTACTACCTCAGTGCACCTGCAGTAAATATGAAAGCTCCTGACAGATCAGTTGTTTGGGTACAGCCCACATGTTAAATCTCCTCTTTGCAGCTACTTAAGGGAGTTTTCTACTGGTCATATTGCAGATTCTGGACACCCTTGGCCTGTGCAGGAGCAGCAGCTGACAGGATCTGAACCTATTGATCTGTACCTCCCACAGGGATGAAATCACCAGGACCCAGCTGCAGATTTCCCCACAGCAGCGATGACTTGCAGAAAGCACAGCAGGCAGAGGTACAGCCCTGCCAGTGGTGACCCTCCTCTGATCCTTACAGACCAGCATCACTTCTCCAAAACCCTCTGAATAAGCAAAGCCACCTCAGCGCCTCAATGCATCGAGTTCTGTTCAATTGTTGGGTTGTTTGGGGCTTTTCCCCCCCCAATAATTCACTTTTACTGTGATCTGTGATGACCAGACCAAAAGGTAACACAGTCTTGAAAGAAATGGTTCAATTAAGGAGACCTCTGGTAGGGTCATAAACAGGCTTTGCTTATGCAGAGGATTTTGGTCAGTTCCACACTTTCACATCGATGTTTTTGCAATATCTGAATTACCTAATTTAGAAATATCCTAAGGACTTTTTGCTACAAATAAGGATTCTTCCATACACACAATATTTGATAATACTTTTCTCAAGAACCCTCCGTTACTTAAGTCTGTGGCAACCCAAAGAACACATAAAAAGTTTTCTGACTTGTCAGATTTTTCATTTAAGCTACCTGTTTCTCAATAAATGCATCTACCAGAACGTTGTAGTCTGATGATTATCCAAAAAAACAACCATGGTCTGGAAACCATAAGAGATGTCATAATCCAGTAAATTCAGTTAGCAAAGTCATCTTCCTCCAATCTCCAAAAGAAACACTGAAAGACCTTTTAAAACTCCATATTCTGTTACTTCTTATATTGCCTTCTAATTATTAGAATTCTGAAAGGTGATAGATTTTTCTACTGTACATCCTTTTTTAGTAAGAATGAGTTGCTGCATGGAGTGAAGCTTATTTTAAACATCAAAATCAAAGTTCTCATGCTCCAGCAGCCCAGTGCAAACTACTTAGAAATCTAGGACATTTAATTTCTTAGAAGGCAGATTGGAGAAAGCAGGCAATGAGCAACTTCTGCAAGTGAGAAAACAGAATATCCTGGTGTGTGCTGCTGGAACAAGTCAGCAAAGCACTTAAGAATTGCAGTTAGGACTGTTAAGGGTTTAGACCCTCACCCCACTCCATTAAGAGATTAAAGAATTAATCCCTTAAGGATATTTTCCCCAACAGAAGTATCATTTAATAAAGGGAAATGGAGACAAGAGTGCTTAAGAGACGTGGTTTTCTAGCAGATAGGTTCTAAGTACCATCACGGGAAATACAGAGAGAAGTAAACTCTGTAACTGCTAATAAAGGTCATCAGATTAACTTAGGAACGGGGAAAAGAAAGGCAAAGTATTTATACAGTGTACAACATCCCGAGACGTGTTATACACCTTCTTTTCTTCAGTTTGCTAAATTTCATGCTCTGACTCTCTGTAAAGCCTAAGAAATACAGTGGTTTCAAGGACTGAGAAGATTGAGGAATCATACTAAATACCACCCCGAGCTTTCAAATGAAGCATCACCTCAAGCAGAAGTAATTCAAAATTAACATCCCCTCATCATCGGTTCTTATGAATGCAACTAGACCACTTATGGTGCAAGAGTACCCCTTAAAAATCATTAGTGTCACACAGCTACTGGCTTGTCTCACCTCGCAAAGAATCACCGGCAGGTTTTGTAACAATAAAAAGCAGAGCACATGGATGCTCCACGTGGTTTCGCAGTCAGTGAAGAGCCACAAAAGTCATAGCCAGTGGCCACTAGTGGCTTCAATGCATCATCAACTGCTGCCGCTCCACTTATTTATTTGCATAGCGCGGCCGGTACACACAGTCACGCCCTCAATAACACAGAGGCCGAAAAATAATTCAAGGTCAAACTGTTGCTTGGAAATAGCAGGTAAGAGTCCGGCATGAAAATTAAATTCCCATTTTCCAAACCTGATTTTGCTTTCCTTCCTCCCCCCCCCGCCCCACCTCCAGCTAACACAGCTGCATTAATGGAAAGTATATGCTAATTCTTATGAACGGGCCTTTTCAGCAAAAATATCACAAGCAGCAAGGTTCACCTGGCTTTAATTATGCACTGTAGTCTGCCTAGAAACACGTAAGAACTTTTACTTCGTAGAATATATTACTCTTAAGACCTTTTTGAGCCATAATACTTCAAAACCGAGTTACCTGAACTGGATAATCTGACCTCAGCAGCCCCGTGACTAAAGGTCATTAAAGTGATCCCATTTATTATCGCATAAGGCAGCACGGAACTAACAAGGAGGATGGAACGAGGCTGGCTGAAAGAGAAGACAGCGAGATGCATTTTCTTACGCGAATTCAAGAGCCGCTCCCTCCCCGCCCGCAGCCCAACACCAGGCAAAGTTCAAGATAACAATTTTTTAAGTACTGACAACAAAGAAAACACACTCATTTAGGGTGGAAGAGGCCTGACATGCTTCAGTTTAAAAGCACGTATACTTAAAAAAATTAAAAATATTATATTTATATAAACCAAGAGCCCACGAAGAAGCAACAGTTCGATGAATATTATTTTAAAACCGTAAAGCACCTCCTCAGAAAGGCACAGAAAGCAGTCGCACAGCAGCTCCCCTCCAGTATTATTTGGCCTCTACTTCTACGATTGCTAAATAGATATTCTGCGACCTTATCTAAATGTGAAGCCTTTGCGAGACCGTCACCCCTATTCAGCAGGATAGTCCATCCCCAGCGGGTCCCAGGACCCAAACACGGCCCAGATTAAAGCATTACTGCCCCCAGTTTTTC